ATACATCTTTAGTATCTAAAGATGTATATGTTTTTAGAAACATAAAAGTTCTTTTAGAACTTTATTTTTGAGCACAAATAAATACCTCTTTTAGTGTCTCCATTAACATAAAATTGGAAACAAAATGGGGATTTCACTATTTGCTGGCATATTATGAAAATAATGGATGTCACTTATTTGGTGGTAAATTTGTATTTTCCATATCCTCTCCTATGCATTAAGTCCTTAAGAGCTTTCAGTTTTAACCTACTAGTTCTAATTTATAAGCAACAAATAGAGAACTGGGATTATATTTCCATTTAGATAGCTTGTTCACCTTTTATTCCCCTGTGTACACTGCTCACCTAAACATCTCTGAATTATGACATGTTTACAAAACAGTAGCATGACTAAGGAAATGACATAAAATCATCACAATATATTTTATATGTAATAAGTGATTGGAAAGGAATGCAGAGGAGATATTTTGGATTGATGTAACATCTTCTTTTTTTATTCAATTCACCCACCTCAGCCTCCCAGAGTGCTAGGATTACAGGCATTGATCAATTGTCATTTTCTTAAAGAACAGTTCTCTTTTCCTCAAAATTGAAGCAAATCCAAAAATTGACAACCAAAATAATTTCAGAACTAAACACTGTAAAAAAAAAAAAAAAAAGAGAGATTCAGGAATTGTTTAGATATTGATTAATATTTTAAATGTCAGTTGTCCTGTGTATTCATAGTGTCCATGCAGCTGAGTGGGGAGAAGACAATTGATTTTTTTTCCTTCCTAGTCAAATGATTTCTATATTTTCTTATCCCTGACCCCTCCCCTCTATTACCCACTTCAGTATTTAGAGCAGTCATTCGATACATTGTGAAATACTTGGTCTTCGTGACTTCTCGGAATAACTACATTTGTTTCTAATTTCGTAAGAATTGAATCAAAGTGGCACAACCACACGTTCATTGGAGAGATTTAATGGCAGCCTACTCTCTGTGTCGAGCACCGGTGTAGCACTAGGATCACAGCGATGAGCAAGGCAGATAAGGTCCTAGC